TTTAGTTCTTCAAGAACTCACCACAAATTGGATTGAAACTGTTCAAGAAATCTATCAGTAACCCAAAATCAAAGTTGACAAAAATTTGGTAAAATCAGAATATTCATTTCAGAAACAGAGCTTTGAATCAAATTACCCAACTGATCATCGATCGTCACAGGAGAAGTTAGATGATAGGTATAATTAGAGAAAATACAGGCACAGGCAAAAACAAGTGAAAGGCAGTGAAAATCCAAGAAGTTATTACAAGTGTTCTAATTGAAATTGTTCAATGAGGAAGAATGTGGAGACATCTTCAGATGGGGATATTATAGAGATTGTTTATAAAAGAAATCATCTGCCTAACCAGTTTTGAATAATTCACTTGTAATTAATCAATTTCATTATTACCCAGATCCATCTCATGGTTCTCGACAATGGGAATTGGTTTGAACGCCGGAAAAATCAAGTCTGAGAAAAATATCCAAGTTTATCCTCTGGTTCCGAATAAGACAATTGCAGGTACAAGTTACTACATTTATCAAATAAACTATTCTAATTATAGACTCTAACCCAAGGATAAAATTTGATGAAATGAGCTTCAAGATAATTATTCAGAGTGGAACTGTGCAGAAAATCTTTGACAGAACAAACCTTTTTTAATAAACTAATCCATTTCTATTCATATTAAGAAGACAATAAATCTTTGGCACTATATATGAGGACATCATGTTTTTGCGCATCTAATAAGGTTGCTCCATGAATTATGACTACATGGTTGGATTGTTTTGAGCTCCAATGTGAAGCTCATGTTATATCTAATTCTTAGTGATGGTCGAAGGATCCATACTTTTTTCCAGAACACCACTTTACTGTATGAAAATTTCCAACATGCTATTTAATTAACAAGATCCCAACTCGCTTTCTTGAATATAATATTAACCCACTAGAATTTATTAAAATTGCAATTCCCAGGGTTTTTTTCACATTTGTCTCTAAAGGCACTACTTTGGTTGTTCTATTTATGTTCACAAGGGGCAACCAAAAAAGCAGTGAGCTTGTATTCCCTAGCAATGACCTGGTAACACCAAAACATATCTATTAGTTATTTTACATATGTTTTATGTTTATTTGTAATTTCCAAATGTTGATTAATGGCTGATTTGGTGTAATATACCTAAATTTTGCAGGCTTGTTGTTAGTTTGGTCTTGCCTACTCCAACAGTTCATTTGCTATTCTGTGATAACCATATTGAGATTGAGTTCAGCCATAACTTCAGTCAAGTCAGACGGTTAAAACTCATAAAGGGGGTTGAAAAGGGGGACTCAGGATCAAATAGTTATTGTAAACGTTATGTGATTTGGTATAATTGGCTTATTTTGAAATCTCTACAAATTTGCTTTGTATGAATACTTTGTATTTTTTTAAATGGCCTTTGAGACTCCTTGTATATTTTATCATAACATTTATATAAAATTTTATATGTAGTTTTGACGATTATATAAAAAGTTTAACATTTGACCAAACCAAAAATTTTAACAGCATCCAAGAAATGGACAATATCTCTTAACTAGTTCATTACAAGTTAAATATATTATTTAATTAAAGTATTAAACATAAGAGTTAATATTTAATTCAAGTCTTTGAAACATATAATAGTAGTTGATAATCAACTGTGTTGAGATTGTATTCATAGATGCAGAAAGATTAAAATATTGATATTTCAATTTCTATCTCTTTGTAAATGTCGATAATGATAAGCATAATTTGTTGATTTCGTAATGAAAAATGATTGAATTTCAAAGATATTTAAACATTCCAAAATATATAAAAGAACTAAACCATATTACGGTTTTATAATATAAGAAAACTAATTATGGAAGTTATGAAAAATTTGTTAATTACTTTTATGTCCTTAATGCTTATATTTGTAATTTGAAATTTGAAAATTCAACATGGATGAGGTGTATATTTTTTATTGGTTCTTTTCATTTTCGCATGAGCATTCCCCTATATATATATATATATATATATATATATATATATATATATATATATTATATGATGTCGTCCGGTTCATCCGATTTTTAGGACCGGTCCGACCGGTCAAACCAATTGAACCATCGACCCAGTAAGACGACCGGTTCGATGTCCGATCTGATTTTCAAAACATTGGAAATACGTGGCTTCTAAAAGGGTTATATAAGAGCGTACAAAACATGTGCCAAACTATAAACTATTCAAATATATATACACCCAACAAATTTCGTACTAAAATATCATTCGAAAAGGTTTAATCACATACGAAATATTTTTTCCTTGTTATAATTATATATATTTCTCAAATTTTACTCTTAATTGGTTTTATTACTAATTTAGTCATTACATGGCACATAAAATTAATTAATCGAATTAGCCTACAAATAAATAAAAGTTATAAACATTTGATGAACAGATTGATCACAAGTCACAAATCATGACATTCCTTGACTTGATATCATTCATCCCACATTTTTTCCAAGTACTTATCACATTTATTTCGAATGCCGCCATTAGCAAGCAAACCAGGGTTAGCCCTCTTGGTTCTAATCGACTGGGTCACATCAGACCCATGTTGTTTAATATTGTGTCTATACTCGGATGCCACATGTTCAAATACTTCCACATCAAACATGTTGAGCTTCATCTTTGGGTTCATTTGATCTCTCACAAATGCAAAAGCTAGTTGATCCCTTGGGTTAAATGCTTCTAACTCATTGAACAAAAGACATGAAAATAAATTGTTTCCCACACCATGCTTTCTTAAGATAATTGCACTATCTGGAACATCTGTCAAGTTATAAAAATAAGTAAATAACCATCATTCCAAGTAACTATATACTAACAGATCAACCCATATAATATATATCAATAATTATATCAAATAGATATTATAAAATACATGATTTAAACAATAATCTAGTTTAATCGATTTATCCTTGTTGAACTTAAAGATGCATTTACTACACTATCATGCATAAAGTGAAAGAGTACGTAAACGAAAAGAAAGGACCGGATACTATTAGTATATAAATATCCAAATAAAGCGAATTGTACACAAAATATTCGTGTGAGAGATAAAAAACGATACTTTTTCTCTGTTGGAGTGGAACCTTAATTAATGTAGAACTTTCAACAACCTTCTCTAGTTGGCATTCCTATTTGTGCATATTCAAAAAACAATATTTATTTCTTATAAATTTGTATAACGAAACATACTTCTTACCTATATGTGTATAAATATCCTAGTTATTTATCAATTTATATGATAAGAAAGTTTTTTTAGCGATTTATAGATTCCATAAATTATTGAATTTTTTTGTAGCAAATTAAGTGTAATTACTTTAGTTGTATTAAATCTCATTTTTTATCAATTGAGTTATAGAAATAAAACATAATCTCATATATATACACAATGATAAAGTAATTCTTAGAGTATATCAAATATCTTGATAAAGACAAATTATCATAAAAAGCAATTCTTTGAGTATATCATATATTCTTGACAAATAATTTACATTACTTAATGTATTAAAGTCTAAACCTATAGAAGTGACTTTCAAGTTAACATAGCCGTTAATTTTCGTCATTTAACCATCTTGTTACGACACGTGATTAAATTACCTGAAGTGTATGGATGTTTCTTAGATGACCATGGTTGCAAGCCGTTTTCACAATACGTTTCAATCTGAATCCTCAACGAATCAACATCCCGCCATTTTTTCCACCTTGCAGTCGCCATGGCTTCTTCCATTGTATGAACATATAAAGGATGTTTAGAAATCGCCATATCTACATTTTCCATGATTACAAGTGAATGAAGCAATAACAACGGATCAACCACCAATTGCATTTTGGCATCAACCCAGATGCTATATTTTGAATTCGGAAAAAGTCTATGAACCAAGTATTTCGGGATTACACCATTCATGGCTGGATTTTCGTAAAGTTCTTCACTGGAAACTTCTACAATTCTCCATACTCCGATCCTGTTTTCCTTTGTTTTTCTCGAGAGTAAGTTGTGAAAGTAGAGTTGTTTGATTGTGACATTGTCGACAAACATGTAGAAACAAACGTGATCCAGGGTGTTAAATCCGAGGCCTTGAGGTTGACGGATTTTGTCGTGGTTTCCAAAAATGGCGGAAACCACCACCACTCCGTTGCAACTTTCCATTGCGATTCTATCTGCAAGAAGACTATTTCAAGCAATGTTGGATGTTGATTTTGTTTTACAAATTTTCTCGATTTTGATTTGTTCATGAACATTTAACGTGTTGATTATGAAATGGTCGTGAAAAACAAAAATCCTCGATTGATACTAACCGTAATCACTGATGGGAAATTTCTTAAGGAACCCACAAGGGATTTCGATTCCATCGTCATGATAATCATAATACGATAGTCGTTTTTGAGTAGTGTAATTATTCCCAAACTTTTCACCATTTTTATTCCCTTGTACATACCTCAAGCCATTGGAATCCGAGGAAGAGTTCGCAATAACTCGTCGGATTTCATCCAAAACAAACGAGTAATCTGAAAACCAGAAGAAAGATCAATGTAAAAACAATCCAATCACCATTAAATGAGAACATTACGTTACCTGAGAAGAAAACAGGGGAATTGCAGGAGGATATGATGGTGGGAATTGGGTGTTTGTGTTGGCCATAAGATTGAGGGTAAATGAAGAGAGGAGATTGGAGGGGATCGAAGGGGCAAGATCGGAAATGGCATTTGGTAGTGGGAGAAAGAGAAGTGTAGAAAGCGAAGAAGAGAGAAAGGAAGAAGTAAGAAAGAGAGGAACAGAGGAGTTTTGATTGGCAGAGAAGGGGTGTAGAAGTTCTTACAAGCTTTCCCATTTTCTGATGAAATTAATATATTTTCATTTTACAAAGGCTATATAGTCTATAAGATGTGACAATGTTTGTTCTTTTATCATATATTATAATTTTGTATCTTTATTTCTATTATTCTTATGGTTGGCTCAATTGCATCGGATCATATGTTTGTAGGTGGATGCTTCCCGTTTCTGTTGTTGTGTGCCCGCCTTTTTGGAGAAATTTCTTTTAAACCTATACAAAACTGAATTTATATAGTAAAAATTATTGACTTATCGCAAAATATTGTGAATCCTTGATCAATTTATATGTTTATGACAAATAAGATCAAGAAATAAAGAAGGTGAAAAACAAACTAAAAAAAAGTTAAAAAGCCCTAGAAAAACATAGATCATACCATATTGTTTTTTGGGGTGTTTTACTGGACGGATGTCATCACCTTTTTCTGTCCATATCTGGCCACCGTCTCCCTCAGCCCATCTTCGGTCACCGTCTCCCTCCGCCCATCTTCGGTCGCTGTCATCGCCCTCAACCCTTCACCATCCTCCGTCTTTGTGGTTCTGTCTTTCAACCTTATTGTCTTGTTAATTTTTATACCATTTGAAACAAGATAATAAAAAAATATTCTTTGTCTTATTTGAAAATGAAAATAAGTTTAAGTAAATATTTAAATGCCTTTTGGTATTAGGAGTGTTCAACAACAAAAGGAGACGTGTTGAGGTACTTAGTAGAGTACAATAAAAATAATGCACGGACCATTTCTTTGATTCAATTTCAAGCTACCATTCTTTCAATTTCAACTTTTAAGTTGTGTTTGTTTTATAAATTATAATTTTATTATAATCAAGGTAATAATTACATTTCAATTTCAATTTTAAAGGTTTATAACCAAACAATATTAGGTGTTGTCTGGTTCGAATGCGGGGCGTTCCCTTGCAGAACGCTAGGCGTTCGTGACCAGGTGTCAAGCCGTGGTGAGGAAGCAGTGGCTCAGATCGCGTCACGTGTCGCTCGCTGGTTACTCCAAAAACTAATTATCTTCTAAAATCTGTAACTTTTTCATACGAGCTCCGTTTTTGACGTTCTTTATATCCACGTATAGGTATCGACGGGATCTAAAACTTTCGTTTAGACTCCGTCGGCTAATTTTGACTTTATTTTTAAAGTTATATTTTAACAGACTTTGACAATTAAATTCCGTTAAAAATTCATAACTTTTTCATCCGACGTCCATTTTCGACTGTCTTTATATCGTTGAGCTCCTATTAATGAGATATTCAATTCTCATTTAGGTTGTGTTGGCTAAAAATCGGTCGATCTAAAATTCGAATTCTGGGCTATGCACTGCTATGCTAAATCTTAGAAAAAATCATAACTTCCTCATACGAAGTCAGATTTTGACGTTCTTTTTATGAACGCTCTCGGATTAACGTATACTATGACTTTCGTTTAGATCGTTAAGGCTAAAAGTATTTTTATCGCAAACTCATTTTTTACGTCACACAACGTCGTGTCGGTTTTGTCGCGAAACTTCGACAGGTCATAATTTCTTCGTTGTAACTCGGATTTCAGCGTTCTTTATATATACGGAACCCTTGTGACATATACTATAACTTAGTTAAGATTATTTATTCTAAATAATCTTCTATCAAAAATTATTTTTTTAACGCTTACTGTCTCTAAATTGACTAGCCTGAATCTGTGGGCATTACAATTATCTCCCCCTTAGGATGATTACGTCCCAGAATCATCAACAAAACAGAGCTTGTATAACGACTCCATACGTTATCTTTTCATCCTAGGTAATAACCGTAACTTCTATGTCCCTTTGAATGAGTATCTAACTCTTGGACTTTTTGACTGTTGGTGGTGCTCAATCTTGCACCCACTCTTTATCTTATGTTGGAATTTCAATTGTAACATTCGAGTTACAAAATCAATCCTTATTGCAGACTCCTTCTTATTATTAACAAACTTAAAATAAGTTATGACCCCTCATCGTATGATGCAACGCTTAGACTCAGGTCTTTTAGAGTCAGATTCCAGAATTGAAGACAACTTCCTTCATGTTCTAATGTGATATAATCACATTCTAGCATGTAGTACTTCTAGCTACAAGCTTATTACTTTAACGGTGATCGTAATACTTCTATTGATCGTTTCGATTATCTTTCACTTCAATCTTCTGGCTTAAATCAGATGTTACATCGATCTTGGTTCTCTGAACCACATAACACACTCATCTTAGTCGGACTCAATTTGATATGACCACTAGGGTCAGAATAACAATCATCTTCTTAGTCATTACCGAAACTGTAACATCCCAAAATTCAAGGCCAAAATTTTCATTTTTAAATAAGTTGTTATAAAACCATAAGTATAAAAATATCCATAATAACATCTCATGTCAAAACCCAAGTGTCAATAGTCAAACATGTTATCATAAAATAATATCAGAGTGTAATACCAAGGATCTCATGCGCGGAAAACATAGTGTGATGCGCTGCGATCGAGCCGACTCCTTTCCTTTGAAAATGTAGTACCTGAAACCAAAACTGAAAACTGTAAGCACAAAGCTTAGTGAGTTCCCCCATCATACCACGTACCACACAACATACATACTGTCGGGCAATTATGGGGTGCCCGACCTACCCATGTCAAGCAGTTCTGGGGTGCTGACCAATCCATGTCAAGCAGTTCTGGGGTGCTAACCAACCCATGTCAAGCAATTCTGGGGTGCTGACCTACCCTCCGGTTTATCCCAATCTGCTCCGGGGACTATTTCACCCCTACTACTACCACATAAAATATAGCATAAACATACTGTAAGGCATATCTGGGGTGCCCGACCTACCCTTCGGTCATAACGACCGAACTTGGGGACTATTCCCCTTTTACTACCACTATCACATATAACATATCATAAACATACTGCTAGACATGCATGGGTTCTGACGACCCCTTCAGTATCTTCCAACCAGTATCTGGGGCCTATTTCACCCCTACTACTACTAACATGTATCACAAAGCATCCTACCACACAAACATAACAGGTAATAGCATACCATATAATTATCACAAAGACAATCATCTAACAAACAACTCCTACTAGTGGGCCGACATTGTGGCCGTAGACCCATTTCTACTGGAAGGTAACTCACCTCACACTGCTGAAGTCCCGTAGACACAACCCCCAACTGCTGGATGACAGATTCCCGAACTGTCAATATCAAAACATCACCCAATTAATAATTAGGTTCCAACACATAACCATAAATACATACTTGGGGGTAAATACTACTTTACCCCTAACTTAGTTTTATTCAAGCCCAAGGCCCAATCCAAAGGCCCAAAAGTCAACTATGAGTCAAAGCCCAACATATGGCCCAATTTTCCAAATTGGGCCCAAACCTTCACATATGGGCCTTATCCTAAATCCCATTAAATTATTCTAGTCCATATGATTATTCTTGGATGGCCCACCAATAACCCAATCATCAAGGCCCAATAGAAAGGCCCAACAATAAACCCAAGTGAAATTAAGGTTTCATATACAATGACAATTAGGGTTAAGTGTTTCTCACTTAACCCATTAAGGACTTAATCCATTAAGTCCATCACTCTTCTAAATAAATCATATGGTGTGATTGGGCTTAATACACAATTCCATTCCAATGGCCCAAAAGTGGGTCCCAATAAGTCCAAGGCCCATAAATCCAATATTAGGGTTTTCTAAACCCTAATTAGGGTTTCCAATCTCATCTTAGCCCAATAGGCCCAATAGCTAGGTCTTTTGATCAATTAGGGTTCATTAAGCCCATTAGTCACATGTTTGGGCTTTTATGTCAATTAGGGCTTCATTGGGCCCATTAGGGTTTCCTTGGGCCCACTAGGGTTTATTAGGCCCATTAGGGTTTTAGTCCCTTTTTCCAAACATCCCAAAAGAGTCACAATACAAACGAGCACACCGCCACCCGACACGGCGGCCGGTGGCGGCAGCCACCACCCTATGGTGGTGGTTTTGAGCTTTCATTTCATTATTCCGACACTATTACAGTTTACAATACAAAATCTCAAAATAACACACACTCACACTAATACAAACACACACACATACAACCACCCTTATGGTGGTCGGCGGTGGCACATGGTGGCAGCCACCACCTCACGGTGGTGGTGATGCCTTTTCCGAGAGTTCGAGCCAAACACATACGCCCACAAACTGAAATACGCACACCTTCACGTATTTTGCTCGGAAAAATAAGCCAACCACCCACCTGGTGGCGTATGGCGGCGGCAGCGAGGATTTTACGATGGCAACCACCACCTCACGGTTGTGGCGGTGGTATCTTTTGTTTACCAGTCAAGCAGCAACTACTCAGGTAAGCCCTTGCTTGGAAATCTGGACGCAACCACCACTTGGTGGTGCGTAACGACGACAGCAGCAAATCCTAGCGGCCACAACAATGGCTAACGGCGGCGACGACGTATATCGAAACAAGGTGGCAGTCGAACGAAGAGGCAGTGGTTAGAGTTGACGTCGGAACCGCAGCAGCGAAGCACCGGAATGAACAGCCACCGCTCACCGTCGATGGCAATGGAGCATCAGCAGCAGTTGTGTCGTCGGCGGAGATAGAGAATGCAGTTGGAGACTCACGAACGGCGGCCGCCACGACGCCACTCCTTCGATCTTCACTGATTCAGCTTCGTTTCCTTCTCGGCCGGTCTTCAACGTCATTCGATGGTTGGTCGGAGAATGATTGGGTGGATGGTGGCGGCGGCCAGTGGTGGGAGGCATAAGGGTGAGGGGTACGGCTGCACATGGTCCTTAGGGTTAGGGTTTGCTTTGGCATAAATACCCGTTACTACTCCAAACTCGTTGCAATAATGGCAGAAATGGTCCCTCCCCATGACATTTTCTTTGAAAGGAAGGCCAATATTTACCATTTAAACCCTCAGCATCAAAATCCATTACAATTTAAGTCCAATGATCAAACTTCAGCCATGTTAACATTTCTAGTCCCTCCTCCTTTCATTTTTTCAACTTAAGTTCCAATAATTACCACGGAGCCCCTGTCTTCATAAATATTTACAACCTGATTTTGGATTTTACACTTTTAACCCCCAATTTCTAAAATTGTGACAATTAGCTCCTCGAGACCAACACCTTGCTATATAATTATTGATTTTAGGGCTACTATTCGTTCATTAATTAATTAATTTATTTATTAAATAAACGAGGTGTTACAACTCTCCCCCACTTAAATTAGATTTCGTCCTCGAAATCATTCCTTACCATTTCTTATGCACCATACCACTCAAGTAACATGGTCACCATCCCTGGTTCACCCTAGCCTTCCCAGGGTAGCCGTGACCAGTCTTCGTAAGCCCTAAAATCCGCAGGTGAACAAATTCCTCGCAACTAGATCAAATCTCCTCCGTCTGAAATATGTTGTCTCGAGATGGCTTGAATCCATGACAGACCATTCATATTGAATAATTATCGTTGAATCCAGTCCGTTTACCCCTCAACTGACTACTCAACTTCTAATAGCTCAAGGTTTACACTATAAAACAGGATCACAGACCTAATTATCCCTACAGATCAGTTATACTTGGCCAAGGCTCAGCTAATCCTGCTGTGAGTGACTTGTCACTTCCTAATCAACCAGCTACTCCACATACACGAATCCCAAATCACTACTACTGTCTGAAGCATCACGCCGCCTCCTATCTGCTTTCCAAAGGCAACCGAGACCTTCCTGGTCCCTAACTTATCTGTAATACTGAATTCTTGTCCGGTTGTTGAGCCAAGAGTAACCTCACAGTCACCCCAGGCGACTTTTGAAGAGGACTTCGGCTATCGAAGTCTGCCCTAACCATATTGCCACGCATGGCTCCATTATTCCTTCTGATCTCCCCGATCATGATGGTTCGACTACCTGTCGCCATCAAATCTAATACGAAAAGTGAAGGCTACCAAAACCACTGTAGTCTTACATCACGCCTGGTCTCAATTCATTTGTCAGTCATCTGAAATATCGGGTTCCAGCCCGGCTGCGGAGCCAAAGGACTCCCACTTAGTCGTCTCACACGGCTTCTGAACGAAATCTTTCTCTGGAACTAGTTGCCACTAGTTATCATGCCACTGAGACTCTAATAACCTTCTGATCTAACTGATCGGGTCCATACGTCGAGTCCTGACGTCACCAAAATCCAAGACTAAAAGTGATTGCTACCTATTCAATGGTAGACTTATATCACAAACGGCCTCATACGGCCCATTGCTTCCCTGTTTCCATAAATGTAGTGGCGTTCCTACAGCCTTATCACTGGCTCTACCAGGTCTAATCCCTCTGGGAAATCCATAAACCAATCTATGGATTTGCCACGCCCTCACTGCTACACCCGAACTGGTGGGTACTACTGTTCCTTCCGCGTCCTAACAATACTCTCATGCTATCTACCAACCTAGTGAATGCTACGGCTACACTCGCAGACTTACAACACTCTCCATACTATCTGATTGCTATTGAATGCTACGGCTACCCCCGAAGTCTTACAACACTTTCCATACTACCTGATCGCTAGTGAATGCTACGGCTACCCCCGCAGTCTTACAACACTTTCCATACTACTTGATCGCTACTGAATGCTACGGCTACCCCCGAAGTCTTACAACACTTTCCATACTACCTGATCGCTACTGAATGCTACGGCTACCCCCGAAGTCTTACAACACTTTCCATGTCGGTCGAACACGCACTCGACCTAACACACAACTGAACTTGAGTCCTAACTGGAGCTCTAAACTGGTTCCCGAAACATGTTGCCTGATGCCAAGGAAAGGCATGAACCAAACGTTGGAACGTTTTCTGAACTTCCAACTCACCCAATCCTCAACCTAGACGTCCACTCGACCGCCTTTCCCCCTGACGGGGATGCAAAACTCATCCTGATTTAACACCTATTTATGTTCTTGAGTACCTGATCGATTCTCCCCTACTTAGATTCGACTAAGTCTTCATGGCACGTAAGAATTGAAGGATTCTCAATCCTTCTTGTTCCAATAACCCACTGATGACAATCTGTGCTTACCAATGCTAGCGATCAATTACCAGTCAAACCTTAAGATCGTCCATCCTCTGAAATCTTGAAGAGTACTCTTGATATCTGGTCCAGTCTGACTTTTCAATCCATCTCCCATGCTGTCAACTAAAGGCCCTAATCTTCACTCTGGCTGACGAATCCTCATTCCCACTTCCAATCTTGCAGCCCCATTGAACTCTAACCGAACACAGCCCATGCGAAAATACAATTCTCTTGAACATCCAATGCCCCAATACTTATGCATCTAACTCTCGCAACTGATATCTCCATCTTCATGCTACCAGTCCTTTCCTTGCAACAGTAGTGCCTTGAACTCCAAATTTCATCCATAGACAATTGTTAACCATACGTGAACCATGATAGAACCACTGAACGTTGACTTCACTGGTGAACTATCGCTCTAATCCTGACCGATTATCCTCTAAATAATACTCCTGCACAGATCCCGACAAAGATCCGAAATGATAGGGGTACACGCAGAACCCATTCCGCAAGATGCGTCCCTCTGTGGGTTCATCAATGACTTTTCGGCATGCAGGATGGCATATATAATCCTTGATAACCCTGACACTTGCAGAAAACCGACCCGAGATTTGACTTATCCAAACTCACTCACAATTCCAAAGCGATACGTATTCCCAACACCCATCTAGTAGCAGTAAAAGATGACATACCTGCAACATCTGGAGGAATCCTAACCACCTCCAGCTGACATGATCAACCCTGCCACACCAGCAGCAGCCTAAACCCTTGGAGTGGCAAACTCCATTGTGCACTTTCCCGTACATGCTGCACTGACTCCGGCCCTGCTGGCCTTTCACCCGATGATCATAAGTCTTGAGTCTCTCCCCGGGACCCTTTACTATACGCACCTGGCACGACCCTCTCTTCCCAGGGTGCTCCAAATCGATCTCGCATCTGCAACTCTTGGAAACCATATCCTTCAGGGTCTGACACCCTGTCATGCTTGCTAGCTCACTTGCCAATGGTTAAGCTGCAACAACTGGAATATCCTTTGTCCCCAAACCGAGTCACAAACTCCTCCCAGAAGCTTCTCAGATTCTCCAAGACTCTCACCGATTCAAGTATGGATCCTGTGCTTTCAGTAGTACGAGCCCAATACTACCTACCCCACCTATCCATACTTTCCTCAGCAATCCTCCCAAATCCTCCAAGTCACTTCCTCAAACGGGTACATCTAAGTCTCACTGAGCCTCACTACTAACCCACTGAAACATATCCTAGGCTTTCCTAGGTTCTCGTACCCACCCAGTCCTCAGCTGCTGAAAGATTCCCAGTAATGTCAACTAGCAACCTCATGAATATAGCTAGCTCACCTTACTAAGAGTCCCACAAAGCACAAAGCAAGCAACATTCAGACAATGGAAAATCTAACCAACATACTCCAATCAAATCATTCTATCCTCTTATCAGGAATCTATACTGACATGAGATTCTAAGGCTCATACAATCAGGCATAACCTACACAGGCTATCCTATCACTGACTGATCAATATTATCATGCAGCTCATCAAGCACATACAACAGGCATATAAGGCATCTTCCTAGATCCTTAGCTCTAATCTAGCATGCATTTCTCATACACATACAGTAGGCATATAATACATCCTTCCTAGATCCTTAGCCCTAATCTAGCATGCAGTTCTCACAATCATATCATATTATAACATAACATATATGGGTATCTTGGGAAAAACTTAATTGAGCTCGGCTGATTGCACGCATCACACACCTTGTTCTTTTCAAAGTCCTTTTCTCTTTTTAAATTATTTTCAAACCTCTTTATATAAAATGATTTTACTTTTGAAAATTTTCATACCAAGTCCTTAGTTTGAGTTCTTTTCAAACCAAATTCTTTTCAAACCTCTTAATTGAGCTCGGCTGATTGCACGCATCACACACCTTGTTCTTTTCAAAGTCCTTTTCTCTTTTTAAATTCTTTTCAAACCTCTTTATATAAAATGATTTTACTTTTGAAAATTTTCATACCAAGTCCTTAGTTTGAGTTCAGACACACCCGAGAGTGTGCCCGAATCCCTCAAACCAAGGCTCTGATACCAACTTGTAACATCCCAAAATTCAAGGCCAAAATTTTCATTTTTAAATAAGTTGTTATAAAACCATAAGTATAAAAACATCCATAATAACATCTCATGTCAAAACCCAAGTGTCAATAGTCAAACGTGTTATCATAAAATAATATCAGAGTGTAATCCCAAGGATCTCATGCACGTAAAACATAGTGTAATGCGTTGTGATCGAGCCGGCTCCTTTCCTGTGAAAAAGTAGTACCTGAAACCAAAACTGAAAACCATAAGCACAAAGCTTAGTGAGTTCGCCCATCATACCACGTACCACACAACATACATACTGTCGGGCAATTCTGGGGTGCCCGACCTACCCATGTCAAGCAGTTCTGGGGTGCTGACCTACCCTCCGGTTTATCCCAACCGGCTCCGGGGACTATTTCACCCCCTACTACTACCACATAAAATATAGCATAAACATACTGTCAGGCATATCTAGGGTGCCCGACCTACCCTTCGGTCCTAACGACCGAACTTGGGGACTATACCCCTCTTACTACCACTATCACATATAACATATCATAAACATACTTCTAGACATGCATGGGTTCTGACGACCCCTTCGGTATCTTCCAACCAG